CTTTCATCCTAATATTCACTGACTAAATCAGATTTTTCCTTACAGACTATTGAATTTGCCCTTTTGTGTCTTTTCTACACATACTCTAGTTATCATTATATCAGTCCTTGACATTTGCCACCAAATTATTCTATGTCTTTTCTTTTCTATATAATTTTGTAATTTCTACTAAATTCTAAGCTTAAGGCCTCAAATGTACCATGTATCATTTATCTCTTATCCCTAGTGTTCGGCACAGTCCTCAGCTCACCGTGAATTAATGAATGTACTTCTCCATTCATATTTGCTTTGTTCCTAACCTGCCTCCCCTAAAAAATGTACGGTGCTCCATTTCCTGAGTGACAAATTATATCTTTATTTTGGCATTCGCTTGCACCTAACTCTAGCAAATATGTGTCCTGGGAAAGTCTGGCCTTTGTAGTCAACCTCTGTGTATGTGGTGGGATCATATATGCACACAGGTACACATACATATATATAAATAAGTGTAGAATTAAATTTAGGAGTATTGCTCTGTAGCCCACACATGTTGGAGTTTATGTAGAGAAGAATCTTGATTCTGAAACATTTATGGTATTGACTATCTAGTATTTTCTAGCATCCTTGTAGGCACTGCAGATTCAAAAATGTTACTAAAGTAAGGTCTCCAGCCTTGGAAGAGCTCACGTTGAGTGTGAGAAACTACTGTGTTGAAATGTTCAGAGTGAATGAAAGTGGCCAAAAAAAAAGTTATTAATTGCTTCTAAGATAGAGAAGTCTTCAGAAGTGAGATGGAATTTGAGTAGTCTTGAAATATGAGTAGATATTTACTTGGAAGATAGAAAGGAACATAAAGAAGGGGGATCTAGACAGAGAGAACAGTTGGTGCAAAAGCACAGTGGTAGGAAACTGCATGGTACGTTTAAGCAGGTGTAATCAGACAGACAGCAGCAGGAGGCAGGTTAGAAAGGTAGACAAGGGTTCAAGAAGGGTCTCGTATGCAAAATCAAGAACTTTGCTTTTCCAGTAGATGACAGGAGCCTTTGCAATGGGTGTTTTGAATGGATTCCAATTACCATTGAAAAATTAAACACTTGAAGAATAACATCTGTGTGGATAGGTTAAATTAACTGCAATTGTTTATTTCAAAAACAGGATGGGAATGAGAAGGGAACTTTCACTCTGCGAGAGGTTGTTATGTACAGAATAGTGACCAGTTATTTTTAGTTCCCACTGAGGACGAAGCAAGAAGAAATAAGCTTACATCTCAGCAGCAGGGAAAATTACCTACAGAAGGGGTCCTTCACAGAAAGATTGAATGTGACTGACGTAGATCATTAAATTGTTGTCTGAGGCTCTCTGGCTGTGTGCTGGTTTCTGTGTACTCAAACAGCCCAATTTCAAGATATGGTAAGACTGGAGATTTTCAAGCTTGAATGAGGATATTTGGAATAAATAAATTTCTTATGTGTCAATTAGTTATTGAGAAATTTTGCAGATATACTTGAACATATAAAATATATTTAATAACTTTTATAATGTAGCATTCGTAGTTGCTAGGAAAAAGAAATGACCAGCATTAGCTCTAGAAATAGGTGTTCTATTAAAGGTACTTTGTATTCATGTACCATTTTAGAAAGTTATTAAAGATTAGGTAGATAGAATTAATTTAAATTCAGTTATTAATCTTTATGTGTAACATTTATTGGTCGGATGATTACAATTAAAATTGCTGTATGTGGTTTATTAACTGATGGCACCTGATCAGTTAATACAGTGACTCACTCTGTCTTATTTTCATTATCATCCAGTGATAACTGAGCTTATTAAAATAATATAAAACTTTTCTTAGCATTTTCAAATATTTCCTGTTTCTAGAACTGCTGTTTGTATTTTTAGTGTTTGAAGATATATAAAAGAAGATTGTAGAGTGGCCATTTTGTTCATCCTTTTACGTCTTATAAAAATAAGTCATATATCTGTCTCTCCCTGCCTGTCACGGCTGGGGAGAGGAAGAGAGGGAAAAACACATACAGGGATGCAAAAAGGCACTTTGCTTCTGGCTAGAGCAGACCTTGAAATGCGTACAGTCCAACCACCACTAAGACTTAGGCAGTCTAGGCAACTATTAACTGGATATTTCATGTTAATGTAAATTTTTAACATAATTTCAAGTTAAACAGCTATCAAATGGAAATCAATTATATTTCTTAATAAACTAACTCAAACACTTTGGAACTGACTTGTACATACTCAGATTAGATTACTCTTGTTCTACCCCAAGAGATGTAGATATCCAACTAGTGCAGTTAGAAGAGCAAATTATTGGATAAATGTCTTTAACCAGTAGAATTAATGACAATGAATGTTCTTGGTTGCCTTCTGTGCTGACATTGAACATGATAGGGCCTGAGAGAGATGCAATGCGTAATGTGTGAATGGTATAGGCTTGGTTGGTAAGACAGACTGAAGGCACAGTAATACAAAGTAAATATGCTTTAATAAGTAAAAATTATTTTCCATTATATTTTAATATTGTATGTATTTTTTAAATAATTAGTCTAAGGTCTCTCACACACATAAAGGTTTAAAAGACCATCCATTTGTCATGATTTTCTATCAGTTTGAAACATTAAAATAGTCTCTGTGTGTGTTTTTTTTTTTAAAGCAAATATTACAATACATTAAGCAGCCTGTCTCCCAGACCAACTAAGGTACTTCTCAACTTGATGAGACAGACATTTGGCCATGTTTGCCCATGCTTTGAAGGGAGTATTATGATTCCAAATAAAAATACATGCAAATAGCTGGTTGCGGTGGTGTGCACCTATAATCCCAGCTGCTCAGGAGACTGAGGCAGGAGAATCACTTGAACCTGGGAGGCTGAGGTTGCAGTGAACCGAGATTGTGCCGTTGCACTCCAGCCTGGGCAACAGAGCGAGACTCCATCTCAAAAAATAATAAATAAAATAAATATATAAATGAATGCATAGCCTGTCTAAAAGTCTTTATCATTTTATGGAAGATACAAATACATTTAACTGATGTTATGTTTTATCTTTTTAAAATGTAACCATTTACTAACTTTTGTAACAAATTGTTAATGGACCAGATACTGAATAAATATTTATTAATAAATACAATTTCTGAAAATTAAGCACTTATAAGTATGCTTGTCAAAAACTGATATGTTTTTTAATACATAATGATATAGCACATGTGAGAAAGAAAAAAAATCACCCATAAAATTGACTTATGAACACTGCTATTATTCTGTTTTTGTATTTCCTTTCCAGTGTTAGCCATATGCATTTTATTATAAACTATAGTGCACTTGTGTAATTTGAAGTCCTAAAAAACTAGGCGAGTTTTTGTTTTTGTTTTGTATTGTGTTCTTTTTCTAAAAAAAAAAATTGTTTTTGTCTCCAAAGAGTTCATAAAATACATAGGAATTTCCTTTCCTTTGGGAAGAGGTACTGCAATTTTTTCTAAGCACTTAATGTTTTCAGAATTTTAGGATTTAGGTGGTTAGTGAACTTGTAACAAAAAAGAAAATGTTAATTTCTTTTTTATTTGGCATATCCAGCATACTGTAAAACGTTGCACTTTGTGAACACATCACGCAGTAATCCCAGGTAAAGACCTGTCTTTAGGAATGTGAGCCTCCCATTGATTCCTCTACAGCTGCTATCCTTACTTAAGAAAAAAAAAAATCCTTGAGGTTTGTGTTGCTTTTTGTTCTTCTAGCTTGTCCTTGAGTTGTGTCATTTCTATCTTATAGTAGGTAAAAGTGTTTAATGGATCAGCATGATAATACAAAATTTTAATTATTTTTCTTATGTGGCATAAAGTAATCCCAGAAATTTTAAAAGAAATCATTGTGACCTCTTGAACTATCAACATTTTACCTTCTGTGGCTGTTTGTTTGGAACCTTGAGACTAATATTTCTTCTAAGTTGTTTACATCATTGACATGTAAGTAGTTCTTAAAAACGTGTAGAACAAAACAGATCCAGTATGGGCCTGATTTATAAAATGCCATGTTTTTCTTTCTTAGTCACTAAAACAATAAGGATTAATTTACTCTGTAATTACCTAAATATCCTGTACAGCCTTTTCATAAACTTGTTTGTGAAAAATACTCATTTATTCTAAGCAGAGTAATCCTTAAAGCTAAAAAACTCCCAATCAGTATGAACATCAGTGGACAACCCATCATCTAAGGATTATAGAATTAAAACATCCAATACAATGAGAAAACTTGATACTTTATGCTGTATTTATGCTTTGTTTCTAAGTAAATCCTTGATTTTATTTGCAGCTTAGTCTAGTGTGAGAATTATATTAAAGCACTAGATTCTCTGGGTTTTTTTTTTTTGTCCTATGCTTTAAAAATTTTTACCATTCTAACTGTGGTATCTCTTTTGTTGTGTGTCTGAAAAGGAAATGCAATATGTAAGCAAATAAAATTTTTCATATTAGGATTATGTGGTCAGATTTTTTTTAATAACTCAGGATAAGCACAACCTTGAGAATTCTTTTCTGATGGTCCATGCAAGTAAAGGAGGATAAAATGTGCTTCCTCCTTTATATTAATTTACATCAACAATGCCTAGAAATAAATATAATCTCACAAATGAATCTTTCAAGAACATATTTTTGTAACAAAGCAAAGAACAGAATGATGATAAAATAATCACAGTAACTTGGGCAATTATCAATACTTAAATGAATGTTCTTCTCTCATGAAAAGAACAGTTCATTTTGCCGCAATCATTTAGACATTTTTGAAAATACAGACTAAGGCTTAATTTGGCACTTTTATTGGTCATCCTACTTGCTTTTAAAATATGGAGCTCATTTTAAAATCTAGAGCACTGCTGCTAGACCACATTAAGAACCTACCCCAAAGTTTTCAAAACTTTTAAATGGGTTATAATAAATTCATTCGTTTCACTTGTTTAAAAAAAGTATATATTTACTAAGAAATTACTAAAAAATGTGTTGTTGTTTTCTTCCAGATCAGAGATACTAAATCAGCAGATCAGAAAACAACCCTTTTGCATTTTATTGCCGACATTTGTGAAGAAAAATATCGAGATATCCTAAAATTTCCTGAAGAACTGGAACATGTAGAAAGTGCAAGCAAAGGTAATTGATTTATAACTGCTTTGAGATTATTTCTTGCCTATGTGGTTTAAATGGAAAGATTAAAGGATCTGTAAATATTATTCATGAAAGTACTTTTTGTTTATTTACTAATATAAAGCAGGAAAATAGTTTCCAGTAGCTTATATTTGATAGCATACTACATTTTAATAACCTATTTTGTCTTACATCATTTTTTTTACCACTGTTACATTATTAAAGCTTTCATTTCCCTGATTAGATAATATGTTTGTACTTTTATCTGATAAACATTTAAGTGGATATTGTTTGCAAAGGAACCATATATAGGGCTCTTGGTTATATGACAGTGATTGTGAGAGCTTTTGCTTGAGTGTGGTTAAAATATAGTAGATGAGAAAAAATTTGTGTATATATACATACACACAAATGTGTTATAAAATAAGGATGCATGTGAGAAATGATGCAGGAAAATATAATGTCCTATGGTTGAGGTGAGGAGGAAAGTACTTTTGAATGGTTAGATAAGAGAAGGCTTCATGGAAGAGATCAAAGGTGAAATAGGAGGTTAGGGTTTTACAAACATGGAAAAGAGGTTGAGAAACATACGTGAAGAGATGTTGTATATGTTGTTTCCAGAGGGAAAATAACATGAGCAAGGCAAAGCGGTAGAATGTTTTAGGGCAGGTGAAGGGAATGGTTGACTGTAAGGCTGAAGCAGTAAGGCATTTGTCTCTGAGACTCGGTGTCAGGCTAAGGAGTCTAGTCTTGATGTGGTAAGCAGTACAGCATCATTGAAGGGATAAAATGGGCACGCTGTGGCTCCTGTGATGAACAGGATGTGGGAAACAAAAATGTCTCTGAGATTTTAATTCAGGATAATTAGCTTTGTCAGTTAGTAAGTATTACATACATTCCAAGAGGCTGAAAAGTGAAAGAAAGGAAGATCAAAGAAACATTTGCTGAAGATGAGATTATGTGTGTGAAGAAGTGCATTTTCCCTTTTAGATAAGAGAAGTACACCATAAATCTTATACTTGAAATTGCAGTGAAGTGATTTCATTCTGTAACTCTGAGGACTTTTGGTAAGGACTTTGTATATGTTTCTCAAGTTTATTACGAACCATATAAACCTGTTAACTTTCCTTTTAAGTTAAAAATAGTGAGTCTATAAAACCCAAAATATTCTTGAATAACACTGTGCAGTGGTCGTCTCAGCCGGTCTGGTATTGTCAATCAAATCCTCACCATATTTCTTTAATTTATCAAGTTTGTATCATTTTGTGGTCCAAAGAAAGAAATTACACAAGAAGATAAACTATGATTATATTGTATTATTTTTTTTTTTTACTATTTTCAAAAAACGGTATGATACGGTGGAAAATTACACAAATTATAACTATAATGGCAACTTTCTGGTAATAGCTCTTCTAAAGAATTTCTTCTTTGATTTAAAAGTACAGCTTTCTGACTAGAAGCATATTTACTAACATGTAGCTAATGTGGAGTAATAACAACATTTAAGCATTTGTATTATAATTTGAAAATGTATATATAGCACAAAAAAGGCCAGTCCTTAAATTAGCTCATTTTGTTGCTGTTAGTACTTTTTGATTGCCTCCTACCAGAATTTTTTTCTAAATTTTCTTTGTTCAATATGTATAATCAAATTTTATGACATTTTGGAAAGAAGTATATCAATAATATATTCAAGCATAATGTTCTGTGAATTTTATATTCATAATTTTTAATTCTTATATTGGGGATAGTTTACATAAATATATATAGTTTACATGAATATACTTATATGTAATATATTGCATACCTATATGTGTATTACACTATATTATAGTATTACTACAGTAATATTACTATATAAGTGTAATACACATAGTGTACTATAATATATATTATAGTAATATTACTATAGTAATATTGCTATATAGTAAGATTACTATAATATATAGTATCTATATGTTACTATATTACTATACTATATAATATCTATATAATATTACTATATAGTAATATTACTACATTACTACATTACTAATGTAGTAATATTATATAGATATTACTATACTATATAGTAATATTATATAGATGCTATATAGTATAGTAATCTTACTATATAGCAATATTACTATAGTAATCTTACTACTTACTACTATAGTAATAATACTATAGTGTCTATGTAGTATCTATATTACTAGTAATATAGTAATATTACTATATAGTAATATTACTATACATACTATATAGTATCTATATATAATATTGCTATATAGTAATATTCTATATAGTGTCTATATAGAATATTACTATATAGTAATATTACTATATATACTATATAGTGTCTATAATATTACTATAATATATATTATAGTAATATATAGTAATATACTATCATAATATATACTTATACACATATATTACATATATACTTATATTACATAATACTTACACATGCATATACACATATATTACATATATACTTATAGTAATATAGTAATATACTATAATATTACTATAATGTTACTATAGTTATATAGCTATATTATATTACTATAATATTACTATAGTAATATTACAATATAGTAGCATTACTATAGTAATATACCATGGTTATATAGTAATATATTGCACATATACTTATATGTAATCTATTTACTAGATATATATATCACACACATATATCACTCAACAGGTATTTATATGTACCTCAATCAACAGTTATATGTAGATGTTATATAAACTATAGGTGTTTACATGTGATCTAGCAGTTTCACTACTAGGTATATATCCAAAGAAATGGAGATCAGTATATCAAGGGATACCTGTATCCAATATTTATTGTAACACTGTTCGCAATAGCTAAGATATGAAATCAGCCTAGGTGTCTATCAATGGATTAATGAATAAGAAAATGTGGTATATAGACACAATCGAATACTATTTATCTATAAAAAAGAAATAAACCCTGATAAATCCTGTCCCTTGAAGTACATGGATGGAACTGGAGGTAATAAGTGAAATGAGCCAGGCACAGGTAGACAAATATCGCATGCTCTTACTCATATGCAGGAGCTGAGAAGGTTGATCTCATGAAGATAGAAAATAGATTGGTAGTTACTACAGGCTGGGAAAGGTGAACGGTAGGGGGATGAAGAGTGGTTGGTTAATGTGTACGAACATACAGTTAGGTGGAAAGAATAAGTTCTGGCCTGATGCAATGGCTCACACCTATAATTTCAGCTACTTGTGAGGCTGAGGTGGGTGGATCACTTGAGGCCAGGAGTTTCATGCTACTTGCAGAGGCTGAGGCAAGAGCATCCCTTGAGTCCAAGAGGCTATGGTGTGTTATGATCACACCACTGCACTCTAGCCTGAGCGACAGAGCAATACCCTGTCATAAAAAGAATACGTTCTAATGTTTGATAGCAGAATAGATTGACTGTAGGTAGGAATTATATATTGTGTATTTCAAAATAGCTGGAAGAGAAGATTTGAAATGTTCCCAAATAAAGAATGATAAATGTTCAAGTGATGGAATGTCCTAAACACCCAAATTTAGTCATTATACATTCTATGCATATAGCAGTATATCACATGTACCCCATAAGTGTGTACAAATATCGTGTATCAAACAACTTTAAAAAATAACTATGGATATTTAACTATATATTTGTATAGAGTATGTATATACATATATATGTATATATATATGTTTTATATAGTTATATAGAGAGATATTCAATAATATTGTATACTTTAGCCACTACCACTACTGACGATAGTAGATTGTAGAACTTAGTCTTTTGAGTTAGATACTATAACTTTGTTTTCTTTCTTCCCCCCCTTTTTTTTGAGATGAGTCTTGCCCTGTTCCCCAGTCTGGAGTGCAGTGGCGCAATCTCGGCTCCCTGCAACCTTTACCTCCAGGTTCAAGCAATTCTCCTGCCTCAGCCTCCTGAGTAACTGGGATTACAGATGCACACCACCATGCCCAGCTAATTTTTGTATTTTTTTAGTAGAGACGGGATTTCACTGTGTTAGCCAGGCTGATCTCGGACTCCTGACCTTGTAATCTGCCCACCTTGGCCTTCCAAAGCGCTGGGATTACAGGTGTGAGCCACCACGCCTGGCCTGACACTATAACTTTCTAATCCTAGCTTGCTCTGCTACTTATTAGTTTTTAATTTGAGCCAATAATTTAACTTCCAAGATTTTGTTTTCTCAAATGAGAATTTCTGTAAAATGAGAATGATAATAACAATAAGATTAAATCAGTTAACGTAGGCAAAGCATCCAGTAAAATGTTTGACACATAGTAAGTATGCAGCTGTTGCTGGACCATTACAGTAGTAGTAGTAGTAGTATTGATACACTACTAAGAATATTATAGTTGTTTCTTTTGTCTTATTAGAAGGAACAATCATAAAGATATCTTACAGTTCCTCTAGTCTTAGTAAGTATGTATTATTCAATTCTATTTGTTTGTTCCTATTTCCTGGGCTTTTGGTAAATCCTTTCATATATATTTTTCTTATTTTATTTTTTATCTTTATTTTTTGTAATATCATCAACTTCTTTTTTCTAATCCATTTCCAGAGCAAAATCTCTCTGCTCTATTTTGATTATTCCTGATTTTGTGCATTCTTCCTGCCAGTGTATTCAAAAGACTGTTGTCAAAAACCCTCTTCCTATCTCACTGTTTGGGCCATAGCAATCCCTATTCTCAAATTATTTTGACTAGTTATTTTTCTTTCCCTGTAAAATTCAGACTGAGAATTCTCAACTCAAAAACTTCTTAAGCACATTCTGCCTGCTTGCATCCCTCTTTCATTTCCTCCTAGTTCTCATTTCAGTATACCCAGACATACAGTCTCTTGAGCCATTTTTATTCCTTTATAATAATCCTGTCTCTGTGTACGATTTCATGCTGCATCCTCTGCCTGGAAATTTCACCTGCCCTGTACTCTAAGACAACTGACTATCATTTGTCAAATCACTGTTCGGAATCT